TCCCAAAATAACGCGCCCCCTAAATATACGTACAACATATAACAAAAACATGTTATCTGGCGGTTAAATTGTCAAATGATTCGAAATATCGTGCATACGCGTCCCGAAATAACGCGCATTGTCTCAAAATAACGCGTAGATGCGCGCAAATACAAAATCCCGGGGTACAGTACCAAACTTATATATACATTCCCGGGGTTCCGCTAAAGCGGGGTAAATTCAATATACGATCTATATACTGCATAAATTACATTCCTGAAATCTATATAACCTCTAACCCTAACTGCATCAAAAAAGCAACTATTGTTTTTACCCAGCTTTAGGAGCCGGGTTTGCAGAACATTACTACAAACCTGCGGTGCAAATTAGCAATTTCTACTATATATTACTAAACAAGTTCAAAAATTATAATTTAAAGTATATAAATAGATTTATATTAATTATAAATATATATATACTATATTTTTAACTTTTAATACTAATAGTATCTGTTTCTTAGATTGTATACATAACAAAACATTCAAAGTTCAGTAATATCAAGCTTGATTTGAGCAAAATCAACTTGTGACAAATCTAAATAAACAAATAATATTATTTTTAAATAAATCAATAAAGCATAATTTTAATATGTTAGTTAAAAATAAAATACCTTTAATCGCCTTTGAAATTAATTTCGTGCTAATAATTTTACTAGTGTACATGTCATCAGAATGCTTTGGTATCGGCAATGATTTAATAACTTTATCAGCATCTAAGAATTGCTTTTTAATTTCATTATCATCTAAACTAGCTATCTTATCAAGCCAATCCTCTATTGTATCCCTAACATTCTGAGCACTAGGTCGTTTTTGTGGATCAGAATTCATGCATTTCTCAGCCAATTCAATATAGCATTTAGGAGTTTCAGGAGCAAACTTTGGCCGCAATCCTCTGCAAATTTCTACTGAAAGTTTAATATCAAATTTACGTCCATCAAAAGGTCTTTGACCAGTCGACATTTCAGTCATAATAATACCAAACCCATAAATATCTGCTGCCTGTGTAAACTGCTGCTTGCCTGATAAAACTTCGGGAGCAACATAGGGCATAACTCCATAAATTTCGTCACCCGAAACATTCTCATTAGATAAACCTAAATCTGCGATATAGGATTGTGTATTTTCACTAGTGCTTTGATCTTGCAAAATGTTACCACTATGAAAATCAGCATGGATGTATCCTGCATTATCATGAATAAAATCTAAATCTAACGCAGTATCTTTAAGTATTTGTAATTTAGTCTGCCATGTAAGCTTACTAAAATTTTTTGTCAAATATTTATGAAGGCTTCCATTATCAGCATACTGAAAAACCATCAAATATTCTTTTGTTTCTGTGTTTTGGGTTATTCCATATATTGCAAGCTTACTAAAATTCAATTTACATTCCATAAGACTTTTAAACTTAAAGTTTAAACAATGAATTAGTTCAATAAACTATTAAATAAATTATCAAAGCAATAAAATTAGCTTACTTCTTTTAAAAAATCGTTGTTTTCCTTAGAATTGGCCAAAGTCTTGAGTGCAACGATGCTATTTGGTTCACGTGACCTTTTGTAGGAATAGTTGTCATCATCAACTTTAAAGTATTCAACTTTACGTATGCCATCCAACCAGGTTGCTGAATATACAGATCCAAATCCTCCTTTACCGATTTCTTTAACATCAGATAACTTATTAAATGGAATCCATTCAATCGCATCTCCATAATTCCAGGCCCTGAGTTGGAATGTTTTCATGCAATCATCAATATCTTTATTTCCACTTGTCCACCTTGTTGCTATGTCAGGATCGCATGATAGACACCATGCTGGTTGAGTGTTATCTTCATTACAATGTGCACATTTTCCATAATCAGAATTCCTATATAATATAAAAATGTTTATTTCGCATCTGCAATTTTAAACTTTATATATACTCACCGACTAAATTAATACGAATGAAATGAATGGTAAATAAGTATTTATGTTCTTGTTTTGCGAAGTTTTATGTAGTAAATTATTAAATGTTCTTTATACTCACTCGCTGAATGAAATGATTTGTTCATGGTAAATAAGTATTTATGTTCTTTGTGAACTTGTTTTGCTGTTTTTATTTCGTAAAATTATTAAATGTTTATACTCACGAACTAAATTAATGCGAATGAAATGATTTGTACATAATGGTAAATAAGTATTTATGTTCTTGATTTGTGAACTTGTTTTATTTCTAGAAATTGTTAATGTTTCATTACACTCACGGGCTGAATGAAATGATTTCACGTAATGGTAAATGTATTTATTTTATATTCTTTGTGATCGTAAGCTTATTAAATGATATTTATACTCACTAACTAATAATAAATAAATATTTACGATGAAATTAAATTGCTGATTTTAAATTGATGAATGCGCTTTATACTTACAGCCTAAGATTTAAAAATTGTATAAGAGATTTCAAATTTTCAAATAATGAAATTACAAAACATTAAATAAAAAAAAATTAAAATTAACCTACTTCTTACACCATTCCCAAAATTTATCATCATTCTTCTCAACGCCAATTCCATAAAGGTAACAAACGGCAGTTTTCCAAATTCCCATAGAATTACCTGCCTCAGCAGACTTCAGATAATTTGTAAACGCTTTATGCTTATCGATTTCGACTCCAATTCCTAAATAATAACAATAACCAACTTGATACATTCCGTTAGAATTATTCATTTCTGCCGATTTTTGATAATGTGTGAATGCCAATTTTTCATCCTTTTCAACTTCAATTCCATATTCGTAACAATACCCAAGCCAGAAAATTCCGTCTGGATCGTTCGTATTTGCTGATTTTTGACAATTAACAAAATTTAGTTTATTGAAATCATCGATTAAATTAGTCAAATTTTCGTTCGTTATTTTGATTATCAAAAAATAAAAATTAACTGATACTGTTTTTTTATTTATTTATTTAGGGGACACACTTATTATGTAAAATATGTAAAATATGCCCGCATCCACTTATTTGCGCGGGTAATACAAACTCCTGGAGGGGAAATAACCAATCGGAGAGTGCAATTTTGACTATTCCGGATCAGCCCGACGAAGAATTCGAACACGCATAAAAGAAGAAAAAGGAAGAAAAAAGCGAAACTATGCAAAAACTAATGGTTAAATCGATCTTGGTGAACTAATTAAAAATGACGGGAATGAAATTTTACATATATAAAAACATCATTCTAACCATATAGCCCCTAGCGTTAAGGCCCTAACCCTAAATTTTTATTTCACGCACTTAGTGTTTATTTACAAAATCGGATTTTGTGTTACCCGCGCAAATAAGTAAATAGGCTCAAACCCAGGTATTCAGAACCCCTGACCCTTGAAACCGTTAGTTATTACATGGGCCGTTATATCACAATTTTAAAGAGAATATAACCGTTAACCATAGGTTCAACGGTTTTTAGGGATCAGGAGGCTCTGAATACCTGGGTTTGAGGGGGGTATATTTACATAATAAGTGTTAGTCCCCTTACAATATTCTAAAACTATTCTAAATTATGCAGGTGCAGTTTTCAGCTACGTACAAACATTGGAAACTATGGTTACACTTTCCAATAAATAGTGCGTAAATTTGCAAATTTCATTTTTTGCTAAGGACAAGGGTGTTATTTGAAAAATTGCCAACGATTATCATACTATTATAGAAAACTCGTACAACCCATTTATGAAAATCCACAAAATTAAATCATAACGTATTACAAATGGGTGTTAATGTAGCAAAGACTTGATGTTATCGTAATGGTAATAGTACAAAGAGAGATATTCAAAAGGTAAATTATTGGTTCAGAAAATATAAAAGTAATTTGAAAACAAACGAATCACCAGATCATATTGATCCTGAGTTTAAAAGAATATTAGATATTAGATTGTTTATAATGAGTTCACAATTATCTGAAAATAAATATTCGCAACTGTATATTCTGCACATTGGTGCGATAGATTTATTGATAGATGGAGAGATGTTCACTTAAAGTTATTCGTAATTCAAACAAAGATTTGCAGGAATTTGTTCAAGGATTAAAGAATTACTGTGAAATAGATTATAAAAATCCTTGTTCTTGTATTGTTTGTGAGTGTCAAGAAATAATTATGATGATTATGAGAATTATATTATTATTATGAAACTTATTTCAAAAGGTCGTTGTGGCAAACTTATAGAAGCAACACAGTTAGAATGGAAAGATAAATTATTTTTTTTGAAAATTAAAAAATGCACTAATAAAAAGTTGTCAAAATAGCACCAGATTTTAACTATAGGTGTATTTTGATATGCTAAACAAAATTGTTTTATAAAACAAGGTCAATTATCTTAGTAAAATTTTGACCTTTATATATAGCAACGGCTAGTAAATTTTTTAAGATTTTTTAAAAAATAGAGAGGTAGCTTATTTTTGGGGTTGTTTTTTTTTGGAAATATAAGATATACAGTATAGCTTTGGATTTTGAGTTAAATCATTCTTAGAAATTTATTTATAAAGATTTACATAGTAGAATATTTTGCAAAAACTTTGAATAATACAAATATTACTAATTTTAGATTATTTAAAAAAATAAAAAAATTTGTAGAGTTTTGCTATATATATAGTCACACCTCGATATAGTCACACTACTGATATGAAGATATTTTTAAAACTAATAAAAAAAATTACTTTTTTTAATAATAAAATGTTTTTATTAAACTATAACAGAATTTTTAATATTAATTTTTTTCATTAGTTTTAAAAATATCTTCATATAAGTAGTGTGACTATATCAAGGTGTAACTGTAATACTAAAAATTTTGATAAATCAAACATATACTCAAGTATTAGAATTTATAATCTTAAAATTATTATAATAGATTTTGACTAAACAAAAAGTATTTGATAGAAATTTTATTTAATAATAATTTTGTACTAAGAATTTTAATAAATCTAGATTTAAAACCCATGGATCAATAGTACAGTGTTTAGTACTTCTGGGTCACAATCACAAGGTCACTGGTTCGAATCCAACTAAGAAACAAGGCTCAGTTAGGACTATAGTTGAATAATCTTGAGATCCAGATAAATCAAAAAAGAACAAAATTCATACTAATGCAACTACTAGCATAATTATGGGTCGGAGATACCCAAAAAAGGTGTAATTTGCAACAAATGATATTAAAATTAAGTAAACCTAGCTTAGAAATTAAATAGGAAAGAATATTAATATAAAGATTGATTTAGCTAGTAGGTCATGCAAAGTTAGGAAATTGCGAACTAAAGATGATAATAGGTTCTATACCATAGGACCAGGAATCCAGAATATCATATAATGGATCTAACAGAACATAAGTTATCTTACAAGTTGGTAAAATACAGGTTCTATAGCTGTTTATTGATCTCCGCAGAATAATTTATACTAAAACTTAAAAAAAATTATATATGTCTTTATAATAAAATAATAACATTTTGAAAATATAATAAATATACTTTTATAAAAATATATTTTAATAATGTATTTATAATATATTTTAATATAATAAAAAGGGTGTTAGACCTTTAGGGTCGATAGCATAGTGGTTATACTCCGAGGTCTCAAATTGCAAGGTTGCCAGTTCAAATCCAAGTGGCAGCGATTTGCAGCAATAGCCAGCCAGGTTAGACTAAATGGGGACTGCAATACCATGGGATCCATAGACCCAGAATGTTTATGACATACTTAATTATCAAGAATGGGCAGCAATCTACAAATTAAAGTTACGGCAATGAGAGCTGTACCAGAACCCTAATTTGGAATGACCGAAGTCACAAGATATAATATGAGGTCCAAGTCTAAATTATGAGATACTATATGAACTCGTGATGCAGCAATTTGAAAATAGCAGCGAAGATTTCTGGCCACTATGCCAGTCGGTGAGACAGGTTGCTTTTGGATAGTGTAAAAGCAATCTGGAGAAAGTCAGATTGTATCGGTGAAAATAAAAATAACAACTATGGTAGTTATAACTCACCAAAATAACACTGGCAAGACTGTTAAAAAAAAATAAAAAATAAAAGGGTGTTATTTTATAGCAACTCATTGTCATAATGATCCTGTGATCAGCCAATCAAAAGTGATCATATGGTCAGCTTTTTTTATTAAAAAAACTCGTGAAGTAAAATAAAATACAATTGTAATCCACCTGTCAATTGGAGAATAGGCGAAATGTGGTGTGCTCTATCTAAAATTTTTTCTTACTAAGCTAATAACACATGTCCACTAATTGAAAGTTGTAGAGCTCATCGAGACGCATCTAATAGTGGTTAGATCATCCAAATCGGCCTAGTTGATGGCGAGTTATCAAAAAACAATTGGCTGACTATAGGACCCCAGACACTCTCATATAGGTCATAACTGATCTGCATGAATTTAGACGTTTTTGCTACCCCTAAAATCAAGTAAATTTGCTAAAAGTTGGATTATTACATATAAATTTTATAGTAATTTGCTAAAAACTAAATTATAACATCTAGTATTGGGTAAATAAATAAATAAATATAGTGCAATTAATAAAAATCTGCGCAAATCTGCAACCCTGCCAATGGCCGTTAAAGAATTTTTGCACAGATCAATAATCTGCGCAAATAGTAAAAAGCAAATAATAATAAATTAAATGCTAGCTAATTGTCATATATTAAAACAATAAATTCAAATATTCATATATTTTAACAATTTAATTTATTACAAAATACAAAAAAAAATTAAAAAAAAAATACAAAAAATAAATACAAATTACAATATAAACCCGATTCCAACTATTGTGCTACATTCCAACTATCGTGCCACATCCCAATATCATGCTATGTCCCAACCATCATAGTAAATCCCATACTAACTATTATGCTATACCCAAACGCCGTTGAGACACTATACAAATGTCATTGAAATACCGTACAAACCCCGTACAAACATGTCAAACACAACGTGAAAAAAAGGACACCAACGACGAACATATTAAAAAGCGCAACCTATCTCGAACCTGAAAAGAATTAGTACTAAAAAACTAAAAAAAAAAAAAAGAAATAATACTTAGCTGTACACAGCTGAGAAACCCAATGCCCAAGATAATGCACCAGCAGATGGCACCAACGACGAAAAGGAAAGCACCAAACTGAAAGACACCAACGACGAAAAAACCAGGTCACTATAAACACCAAATTGGACAGCACCAGTGACAGGAAGAAATTACGACGCCAATGATGTAAAAATCACGTTACAAACCTAAATTCGCGATATATGCATTTTCTACATAAGCCTATAAGATATTACTACTATGCAAATCTTTATAAACGTATCTTGTAGAATGTATTGCTGTGAGATCATAGACTATACATTGTATCAGTTTTAGTTTTTTCTCCCAATTCATTTAAGTTATAGAGCCAAATAAGATTCTAAGAGTATGGCTGTTCGCTGAGTAAAAAGGTGATTTTCATATGGGCTGATCGAACTCATTCGGAGTGATATAAAAACGTGATATCTGTATGGTTACACTAATCTGATAATTATATGTAATGTCTTTTTCCAAACCTTCCAAACCTTTTATATGTCTTTTGTGCTCTAAAACTTATTTGACAAAAAGTTCTTTACTGTCTCACGAAGCAAGAAAGCACCCACATAACTGTATTGTTCCTCACAGTTCTTGTTTTGAACTCCCTTCAAGTTGGTGTCTATGTCAATTCCGCTCCATCTTTCTTGCAAATGTAAAGTCTTGTCTTTATACTCACCGGTCAGCTCAAGGCTTCAAACAATTTACCGTGCACTGTCCCGAAAACCTTTTTTATTACGTGTTTCACCAAGAACCTGGGGTTGAACACCAGGTGGCCCAGCGAAAGTATAAATGCACGTATAAAGGACGAGATGGGTACCAAAGAATTGGGTATATCTTTGCGCATCCTGCTTGGGGTGAAAGGTTAGAGTAACGACAGAAAAAAAAAACCTTGAAACACAACAAATGCAGGAAACTAAATTTGTCTTTCTCTGGAAAGAGCGAACGACTAAAGAAGAATATAATGAGAAGGTTTACACTTGGACATATGGGTTTTTAAAATTTACATTCGAAATATGTAAACATAATGTAGTTGTGGTTTAGATTTATTTTTGTTTAAAATTTAGAATTTTTCTAGTGTAAGATAAAGAAGTTTCATTGATATAATAATAAAGTTGTCTATTTTCATAAGAGCACATGTCGTAGGTTACAGATTTTGAAGAATTGCTGCCACCCATCATAGTACCACCATAAAATAATTGAATGTGGGTGTGATTTTTTTTTTCAATACCTGAACACGAAAACCATCGTAGATATAAATTTTTTGTTTTAAGAAACTTTAAAATTTTGGAATATGACATGCTAGTATATGCATGTAGGGGGTAACATCGTCGCATTAATAGGGTCCTTCTTGTAGAATTTTTCCTTCTCTGTTTTCGATTGTTGGTTGACAAAATTTCTGACCCATTGTCGTCAAAATTGTCAATATCCTCATTTGTCAAATTAATTTTATGCATCGTTTTATAAATAAAAAAAATTCATACCAGAGTTGTTGTATTTCTTTTCCTCGTTGACCTAAAATAAATGAAGTTACAGGAAACTTGTTTAGAATTATTAATTTATCGGGTCCCATTAGTGACGTCCAATGCCACTTTCTCTTTGGTGTTTCGGGTTCTTTGAACTTAAAAATGTTGCCACCTATGGAATGAATAGTTGGTTCTATTTGTCCCTGAATTGTTATTTCATTATTTTTTTGTTTTTTATTAAATGTCGATTTAATTGACAATTCAAAAAAAAGACATTCAAATAAAATATCAATAATGCGAAGCATTACATGTAACTCATCAGGCACACAATGTTGTTGTTCTAAAAAAGGTAAAAGATTTGAATTTTTTCGTCCCCGAGTATTACATAGATTTTCATAATCTTTGTCCATATTCCAATGGTCTGTGCATTTACAATCACAATATAAACAAAAATAATCTGCTGTTGGTCCTTTAGTACTAAGAATTAAAGACATAAATTTCCAATCTGAACCAAACCAAAATTCGATTTTCCGATGATTGTTATTCGAGACAATAATTCCTTCTGTATTTAAAGTTACTAATTCGTAGAAAAACTAAAAGCTTTTTAAAGAGACTCATATTGTTCTGTACCATTATAAAGGAAAATACAATGTTGATTATACGGGCTTAAAACCATATCATGCTCATTTAATATATATGTGGTTAGCATTACGTGATTATGGTGCTTGCCAACTTGTCGCCTGTCCCTGCTTAATTTAACATGAATAACGTCCCTACTTGTAATACTGCTGATTTGCTATATGCTAATTTAGGAATTAAAACAAATAAAATATCCTTAAGCGATCTATAAGCCCCATTTGAAGCTATAGAATTAACTTGAACCATGTGAATTGGAATTATATGATCCATAATTCTTGTTATTTCTTGTCGACGCTTTTCAACTTTATATTCACGTACCATTTCTGGCATAATTGCTACAAGCTGACGATATGCATCACGAGAAATCAATGACTTATCGCAGGCACAAGCAGTTGAATCTAAAAATTCATTCGATTGAGAGTTTTCGGAATCTAAGTTTTGAAAATTAACATGTAAATTATTTACATTTAATTCTATAGTATTTAATACTGTGTCATAAAAATTATGAGATTGAATTGTAGACTCGATCCCATCACGAATATCACAAGCCAAGGCTTTGAGACATTTATTTTTTGTGACTCAGATTGAAGTTTGTGAAATGGTTTTTTCGTGATTGAGTTTTAAAAACGAGTTGATTCTGGTTTTGACGCCTTTCTAAACACTCTAAGTCGAATCCAAAAAGTATAATTCCCGAAAGTTGTGAATTACTATGGTCCTTTAATTTCTATTTATAAAATATACAATGTACAGTATATAAATATATATTATAATAATTTATTAATCGATTTTATATTAATACAGCATTTTATTATTTAATTACAACCTACAAAAATAAGGCTGAAGCATTACTA